CCATTCGGTCTTTCAAGCTGTACAGGAAATGAAATTCCCCACACAATATTGAGAGAATTAAATGAATAACTGAGTCCTAGTTATCACCCCCAGTAGAAGCCCCCTGCAGAATGTGCCTCAGGCTTGTCCCAAATTTCGAAAGCCACAAGGGTACATTTCTTCCTGACTCCAAGTTCCATGATGTCACAAAGATAAATCAGAATGTACAGGATGCTATAAATTAGGGCTTTCCCACCCCACCCAGGGACCTCATTAGCACTTCTCATTAGCCTTGGACAGAAAACCCTACCCCTTCCTTTTTTTCTTTCTTGTTTTTCTTTAAGAGGTAAAGTGAACTTAATTGGCATCTTGATCATCTCCATCTTAGAAATTCTTCTCAATGTCAATGTGCAAAAGAATCTTCCTGGGGAGTGTTTTTAAAACGTAGATCTGGTCCTCACCTCTTTTTCTTCCTTCTCAGACCTTCTGAGTCTGAGATGGAATTAGAAGTTTGCCTCCAAGTAAATCCCTAAACTAGTGAGGTTGCCAGATTAAGATCGTACTTTGAGTGATTTAACTTAAATTTAGTTTCTTAAATTTAGCAATTCTGCATTTTTCCTTAAAAAAAAAAGCGCTTGATACAATCTGTGTGCATATTTCAGAGAAAAAGGGAGGAGGGCAGACAAATTGCAGGTGATGAAAAGATAAGTGTTTACCTGTTGGGTTTCCCTTTAGATTTTTATGTTCGGTACTTAAAATCCTTGTTTCACTAGAGAAAGGACCAGGAAGTTGCTGAGACTCTGTTTTACTGGCTGTATCTCCCCAGGATTGGAAGTGAAAAGAAAAGGGGAAAGAATTTGTAACATTATTTGCTAGGCCCAGAGAAAGTGATTGTTCTTATTCTACATATATTTTATTCCCCACCCAGCAAGAAGCATCTGGTCTTTCCTGCTCTGAAAACACATAGGACTTTTTTTCACTTGACTTGAGTAGTTTTTTTGCATGGAGAGTCCCATGGACAGAGGAGCCTGGTGGGCTACAGTCCATAGGGTTGCACATAGTCAGACATGACTGAAGAGACTTACCATGCAGATGGGTAGATTTTTATTTTTAAAGTGCTTTTTAAAATTACAATGGTAGCGAAAAATAAGAAAATTCTGAGTAGTATAAACCAGTCATACTTCCATCACTCAGAATTAACCACTGTTAATATTTTATTTAATTTTCATCCAATATAGTTTTTTTTTTTTTAGTTTGGACCATTTTTAAAGCTTTTATTGATTTTATTATAATACTGCTTCTGTTTTATGTTTCGGTTTTTTTGCCCACAAGGCATGTGGGATTTTAGCTCTCCCCACTCCCAGCATTGGAAGGTAAATTCTTAACCACTGGACCACCAGGAAGTCCCTATCCAACATTTTTTCTAAGCATACATTTCTACTAAGAAGGATTGTACTGTCCATATAATTTTACATCTTACTATTTTTTTTCTTTTAACAATATACCACAGCAAGTTTCAGCTTCCCTGGTCACTCAGATGGTAAAGAACCTGCCTGCAATGCGAGAGACCCAGGTTCGATCCCTGGGTTATGAAGATCCCCTGGAGAAGGGAACGGCAACCCACTCCAGTATTCTTGCCTGGAGAATTCCATGGACAGAGGAGTCTGGCAAGCTACAGTCCATGGGGTTGCAGAGTCGGATATGACTGAGTGACTTACACACATAGCAATTTTTTTCATGTTTTTGTAACTTAAAAAATTTTATGGTTTTGTGTCAATACATCATGGTTCATTTAGTTATCCCTCCATTGTACTTTCAGGGTGTTTTGATTTACCACTCTTATAAATAACACTATCATGAGAATGTTTAGGCATAAATCTTAAGGACAAAGTATTTGTATTTATTGTATTTATTATGGGTAGTTATTTCAGACAGAAAAAGGAAAGGGAGAGAATGATTTTAAGCAAAATGTTTTCTCTTTATTTTCTTCCTATAATAGTGGGAGTTGAGAGACAACATCTATGAAGGAGAAAACTTGAGGACGTATGGTTCTCATGTTAATTGACTCTCTTGAGAGCAAATAGAATCTCCTCTGATGGATCATTATTTCCAAACAAGAAACTTCAAATGTATCAGTACATCTATCCATCTTGTTGCTGAGCATCTTTTTGATAGTTCAAAGTGTTGAGAGCACCGCCCACTTCATTCATTCAATGAATGAATCCAGAAGCCACTGTGTTTCAGGAGATGGAGATTTGAAAATAAAATGCCTGCTCTCAGAGCAGTAAAAATCCACAGGAAAGTTAACTAAAAACTACAATGTACTATGAACAGTGATGGTAGAGGGTGTTGTAGAAACTCAGAAGAGGAGCCCCTGGAGGTGAAGGTAAGATTGGAAAGTCTTCCTAGAAAAGAAAATGAGAGAAAGGAGAATGTAGGGTGTGCAGGGGGTCTAGAGAACACAGAAGCCCACATAAAACACAAACACACGTGAGGACTTTGGTGTTTTCGCTACCAAAGGGGATGTTTATGTGATGTTAGCGTGTGATCTAGTTACCTAGATGCAGAGGTGAGAGACTGGGAGTTCCCTGGAGATCCAGTGGTTAAGAGTCTGCACTTCTAATGCAAGGGGTGTGGGTTCGATCCCTCGTCCAGGAAACTGAAAGGCCACGTGTTGTGCAGCAAGGTCACAAAATTAAAACAAACAAAACCCAAAAAACAAACAACTCCCTCCCCCAAAAGAAAAAAAAGCAAGTGAGAAAAGAAGGCACTGCCCCTTGAAAAACTGGGTCAAAGATGCTATAAGAGCCCACACGTCAAGTCTGGTCTCTGAATGGCAGGCTTGGAAGTGGCTTCTGTGTTTGGCCGATGGCAATGGATGGAGCCCCATTGGAGGCTCTGGGCCAAGCTGCCCCTGGGTGGAAGAAGGTCATGTAAAGAGGGGCACACGAGCAGGGCAGCAACGCTGAAAGGGAGCATGCACAGTACTAAAAACATCATTTTTACACCTTTTGAACATTCTATTTCAAAATATCTCTTAACTCTTTCTTAAAAAGACCAAATGGTTAAAAAGAAACTTAGTATTAATATAAATGTGTCATGAAGTTTGTGTCTGTAGTTGAGATGTAAATCTCAGTTTAGAAAACTCTTGGGGTAATGGAATTTTGTAGCCCTAGAAACTAGCAATGATGATAAAATCATCACCTACACTGATTTGGTAGTTTTATAGCAAGGATCTGGTTGTCTCTCTCAGTGTCTCTCTGTTTCTCTCTCTCCTTCCCTTTCTGAAAAGTGATCTGAAAGAACTTATAAAGTCAGTGACCAAGCCACTTTAGGAGGTAGAAACCTGTAGGAGTTAGGGTTCTATTGTATGTCCTCCTTAAAAATATAGTTTTGCACATGGTGAGGAGCCATCCACTGGATGGGCCAAATATCCATAGCTGATATTTAGAATTCTATGGTAAAAATAAATAAATTAAGGAAAATATGGATACACGTATATGAAGGCTGAGTCCCTTCACTGTTCACCTGAAACTACCACAACATTGTTAGATGCTGCTGCTGAGTCGCTCCAGTCGTGTCCGACTCTGTGTGACCCCACAGACGGCAGCCCACCAGGTTCCCCGTCCCTGGGATTCTTCAGGCAAGAACACTGGAGTGGGTTGCCATTTCCTTCTCCAATGCATGAAAGTGAAAAGTGAAAGTGAAGTCGCTCAGTCGTGTCCGACTCTTAACGACCTCATGGACTGCAGCCTACCAGGCTCCTCCGTCCACGGGCTTTTCCAGGCGAGAGTACTGCAGGGGGGTGCCACTGCCTTCTCCGATTGTTAGATGACTATACCCCAAAACAAAATAAAAAGCTTAAAGTCTGGGGGGAAGAAAGAAAAAGAAAACAACAAATGTCAGTTGTCAAAGCACACATTGGCCTGGACAAAATTAAATAGGCAAGAAAGGAAAACCTTACTCACGCCTATTGCCAGTGAAAGAGGTCAAGACTCAATCTGAACCAGCACCACTGAAACGAAGAGGTGTGAGGGTTTTCTTGTTTGTTTTTATAAAATTTTGTTGCTGTTGTTTGGCTTGCGGGATCTTAGTTCCCCAACCACAGATGGAACTCAGGCCCGGGAAGTGAAATTGCCCAGTCTTATCCAGTGGACCACCAGGATATTCCCCAGGGTGTGGGGTTTTTAAAGGCTGGAGTGCACTAGTGGAAAAGTATGAAAGAGTTTGCAGGGCGGTCATAGACCATCTGGGTTTGGTTTGCTACTAAACTTCCCACATCTTTATGGCAGGCAGTATATTTTACAACTTGCAGCGTGGTGTCTACTGAAGTCAGTCTCCTACCGCCCACAGAGACTGGGAGCGGGGGTGGTGTCTTCTTAGCAATCGCATTTCAGGAGAAGGTCTCCCAGGTCCTCGAGAAAGATAGTCCCAGATTGTAAAAACTGGCAAGAGGGTTTGAAAAAGGCTTACATCTCAAAGGGGCAGAGAAAAAAGTTACAAAGATAAATGTTCTAAAGGAAGTGCTCATGGAGAAGGGAAATCAGGGGCCTTGAGTCAGGAAGAATCTCTTTAAAGGTTCATCAAGCTGAAGAAAATGTTCGGAACTTGAGGAAATTCCCTGGCAGAGGCCCAGCTCACTAGGGGGGCCTCCTAATGAGGTTAATAATTTCTTTGTGTGCGTGTGTGTTCAGTCACTTCAGTCGTGTCTGACTCTGCAACCCCATGGACTGGAGCCTGCCAGGCTCCTCTGTCCATGGGATTTTTCAGGCAAGAGTACTGGAGTGGGTTGCAGGCCCTCCAGGGCATCTTCCCAACCCAGGGATCAAACCCACATGTCCTGTGTCTCCAGCACTGCGGGCAGATCGCTTACCACCAAGCCACTGGGGAAGCCCTATTAATTCCTTTACATGTAATTTATTTAATCCTCACGGCTAGCTCTTATTGTGCTGACAGAGAAGGAAACTAAGACCCCAACAGGCTAAGTGACTTGGGAGACGTCATCTAGCTTTCACGTGGCGGTGTCTTAATGAGAACGCAGGGTCACGGGACCCGGGACCTGCAGTTTCCATCCCTGTAAGCACTGTCCACAGCTGGTTGTGCTAAAGCTCTTCCATTCCCTCCATCCTCCTTTTTTTTTTTCTTCTGAGTTTGCAGAGCAAACAATGAGCTTTCCATCCTCAGTACTAGCCTGCCCATGGGTATCCTCAGGTCTCTATGTGAATCATTTTTTATATGGTATGAGATACATATAATACAATGCATAAGTCTTAAGCCCTTGGTTTGAGAGACTAAATACATGGACAAAAGGCTGGACCGTATCTAAACATAGGACTCTGACCACCAACCTGCAGCAACCAGCCCAGAAAACCAACACTTTATCTATAATAACCAGCCCAGGAAGCCAGCCTGCTAGATGGCAGATTTGCAGGAAGCCAGATTGTTATCTCTGACAACAATTCAGAAAGCTGAACAATTACTTCTGTAACAATCAACCCCTAGTAGCCGGGGCTTGATTAATAACTGACAGCTCTCCTACTTTCTGTCCCTGATTGCAACTTAGGATCAACAGAAGAAAACTACAGTGTACTCCTAGACCATCACATAGGATGCTCTGCCTCTAGTTTGTCCATCTGTAGCTTCATCAGGGCGACAGCCTCCAATCAGGGCACACCTGGAGCCTTCCATTTTTTTCCACTATAAAGCTTTCCCTCTCCTCTGCCTACCTTTGAGTCTCTGCCAAAATGCTAACGATAGAAATTGACTCTTGTGATAGAAAACCCTGAATAAATAGCCTTTGCTTTTCTCTTTGCTGGCTGGTTATTATTCCCACGGGCTCAGTATGTGTAAGTCTATGTAATCACCACCCAGATCAAGATACGGAACATTTCCAGCACCCTGAAAAGCTCTCTCATCTCTTCCCAGATGATACCCAACTGCCAAAACTCCACTACCTAGAGACAATCTACTCTGACTTCAAACATAATAGGTTAGTTTTGCCTCTTCTTGAATTAAATGATACAATACGAGATCAGGCAGTATGTATTCTAATGTTGCTATTGTTTAGTCGCTAAGTCGTGTCTGACTCTTTTGAGACCCCATGGACTCTAGCCTGCCAGGCTCCTCTGTCCATGGGATTTCCCAGGCAAGAATACTGGAGTGGGTTGCCATTTCCTTATCCAGGGATCTTCCCCACCCAGGGGTCAAACCTGCACACCCTGCAGTGGCAGGCAGACTGTTTACCGCTAAACCACCAGGGAAGCTCATGTATTCTTACACATGGAATCAGAAAGCTTGTACTCTTGTGTCTAGCTAATTTTTTGCCCAATATTTTGTCTATGAGATTCATTCATATTTTGAATTCATATTTTGAATGCTATAGGAGTATAGCATTTGTCTTTTCTCCTGAGTAATCTTTTATATAAACGTAACACAACTTTATTCATTCTACTATTGATGGGTCTAGGTGATTCTTTGTTTCTTGGATTTTATGAATAGAATTGCAATCAATATTCATGAATATGCTTTTCTCTGTAATCAGCCTTAATTTCTCTGAGATATTACTTAGAAGTTGAATACTGAGTCATAAAGTAAGTGTGTGTTTGGCTTTAATAGATACTTCCAAATAGTTTTTCAAGGTGATTGTATCAATTTGCATCTATGAGACCTCCGATTGCCCCACAACTTTGATAAAATGTGGCATTATCAGTCTTTAATTGTTTGCCATTCTGGAAGCTGTGTATTCTTATCTAATTGTGGTTTTCATTTCCCTGATGTATACTGTACATCATTGTTTTGGTGTTTTTAAACAATGTCATTACCTAAATGGCTATTTCTGCTTAGAGAGGAAATGACTATGTATAGTAACACTGATCTGTGGGTTTGAATCTTTGAATATTAATACTGATCTAATATTTAGATACTGTTGATCAAGACAAAATTGGAAAATAAGCAAGCAAGTTATCTAAACTATTTGATTTCCTAAAATTTGTTTCTACTTCTAATGCCATCTAAGTGGGGTTAGTGATCTAGAATATTCCTTCCCTACTTCCTAGCCTCATACGAGTTAAAATCCTGCCTTGAGTATTTACGCTTAGTCCTGGGGGGTATTTAAGTCTCCTCTGGTGCTATGGGCTGCATCTAAACTCCAGGAACAAAGCCCCAGAGGCATGAATCTACAACTTGAAGCTCGGTTTTGCCTCGCTGCCGGAGACTGTGGAACTTGTGGGTACCACTTTACTTAAATAGAGATTAAGATGATGGTGACAGTGCTAACCAGGATGCTTTCTGGCTGCAAAATGAAGAGTTGGCCTCAGTTATCCCTAAATCCCTTCCAACTAAAGTCCCAGAGTCCTTCTCCCGAGTCAGCAGTGCTGGGGCTCAAGTTTCTGTCCCTCAGTCATGTCTGATTCTTTGCCACCCGATGGACTGTAGCCAGGCTCCTCTGTCCATGAAATTTCCCAGGCAAGAATACTGGATGGGTTGCCATTCCCTTCTCGAGGGAATCTTCCTGACCCAGGGATTGAACCCAGGTCTCCTGCTTTGCAGGCAACTTCTTTACCATTTGAGCCATCAGGGAAGCCCAAAACTGGTAAAATATCTGTTAAATGGATGAAAGAGAAATCGGGGTCAATTTGCTGCCCCCAGCAAAGTCCATTTCTCCACCAGGAAGTAATATGATGGCAACTCTGTGGTATGGTGACAATTACCCAGTTGGATGGCATCACTGACTCAATGGACGTAAGTTTGGGTAAACTCTGGGAGTTGGTGATGGACAGGGAGGCCTGGCATGCTGCAGTTCATGGGGTCTCAAAGAGGCGGACATGACTGAGCGACTGAACTGAACTGAACTGACAACTACCCAGAGAAAATACCCCTCCACAGATTAGGATAAAGCAGATGAACAGATGGCTAAAGCAGGAGATGATCACACAGAGTATGGCCCCTTTTCTTTCCACCACCCCCTCAAGAGACTGGCTCAGGGGAGGCTCTGGAAGGCACCTTGTGTAGAATAAGTTAAAGGTTGGGTACGGGAGATGTCTGAAGAGCCTTTGTAATACAATCTCAGTATTTCCTTTGAATTAGAATTGTAATCCTCAAATCCACTTCTCAGCACAGCATCCTGGTTTTAGCTGTGGGGGAGGTGGGGAGAAAGAAGGCTGGTTCTGCAGGAGGCTGCAAAAGCAGCTTGATGCTCCCCCAGAGCTGCTGTGCTCACAAGGCTGAGACACAGAGCCCTGCGGGGAAGGCGACAGCCCCACTTTAACCGCAGCTAATGACACCCCCAGGCTCCACCGATCCTCCCGGGGGCAGCGGCCTGGGTAATTCTAATGCTCAGGTGTAAATCTTGGAAGGTTAATCAGGCCCTCATCTCTGGCCTCTCTCGGCACATTTAGGACTTCACAGAGACACACTCACAGGTAATGATGCTAGGGACTGTGGCAGAGCTCATGGAGGTCAGGGCAGTTTTCTCTGTGACCAGCACCTTCTATTGCAGCTTGGTGTTAAGGCTGTAGAGAGTCTGGACATGTCTAGGGCTGGCTTAGGCTCCCGTGGTGACTCAGACGGTAAAGAATTCGCATGCAATGCAGGAGACCTGAGTTCGATCCTTGGGTTAGGAAAATGCCCTCGAGGAGGGCATGGCAACCCAGTCCAGTATTCTTGCCTGGAGAATCCCACGGACAGAGGAGCCTGGCGGGCTACAGTCCATGGGGTCGCAAAGAGTTGGACATGACTGAACGACTAAGCACAGCAAAGGGCTTGCTCACGGCATGAAGTGTCGCTGATGTCCTTGTTGGAGCCCCAGTTCCCTGTGCGTGTGGCAGTGTAGAGTCACAGCCCCCAACGCCGCTGGGTTCTGAGCGCCAACTATGGCGGCGTCAGCATGGTGGAAACACACCAAAGGGGCAAGGCCTGTGCTGCGTCCTCAAAGCTTTCCTCAAGATGCCAGGAAAGTGTGAATCATCTGGGAGAGTCGTGTCCAAGCAAGGTTATCGCAGCCTTGTTTGTAAAAGCAAAATTGCCAGTAACCATCATATCCATCAATAGGAAAACGGCTAAATAAAACTTTTTTTTTGACTCACACATTCAGGATACGAGGCAACAATGAAGAAGAATAAGGTAGATCCAGATGTAATGCCATGGGAATATCTCCAAAATTTATTCAGTTACTATTTTTTGAAGGCAAAAGGAGAAGAGGAGGGCAGAGGATAAGATGGTTAGATAGCTTCACCAACCAATGGACATGAATTTGAGCAAACTCGGAGATAGTGAAGGACAGGGAAGCCTGGCATACCACAGTCCACAGGGTCACAAAGAGTCAGACACGACTTAAAAGCTGAAAATCAATATTCAGTTAAAAAAAAAAGTAGAAACTGTGATGCCATTTCTCATAAAACCTACAAATCAAAACCAAGTTTTTCTAACTAGAGACACATATATGTAAATACACAGTAATGGATCTATAAGGACATATACCAAAATGATAACTATGGAAGCTTTCTAGGTAAAAGTGGACTGAGGAGAAGATGGTCGGTGGTGGTGGAGACTCCAGTTTTATTCATATTTCTTGAATTTTTTATTAATGAGAATGTATATATATAAGGTATGTCATTAGTAATAACTTTAAAAGTGCTAATAACTAAAACACAACAAAGATACTATGAGAAGGCATAAAATGTCTTTTTATCCTGCATAATGATAGTCTGATCCATCTCAATGTGGTCCAAAGTTTTGGAAAGTGATATTTTGGAAATTTAAACTTTGACATATTCAGGCAAACCCTTATTGTTATGGAGTAGATCTTTATGTGCATTTAAAGCCAATAAAAGAATATTTGCACTCAGAAGTTTTTCACATGAAATATGTATCTAAAACTTAGATGCTTTTCATTTATTAGAATGCAGCAAGTGAAAAGACTGAAAATAAATGGTGAGGAGAGGGTGGGTGGGAATAGGCACAGGGTACAAACTCTTTCAAGGGCACTTACCATCCATCAAAATTGCAAATACTAATCCCCTTGACCTAACACTTCCACTGCTGGGAATTCCTCCTACACAAGTCCACAAAGATACACATTAGGACTCCTCACAGCATTATCTCTAAGAGCAAAATCCTAGGATCTTGTCTCAGTTCAGTTGCTCAGTCATACCCGACTCTTTGCAACCTCATGGACTGCAGCACTTCAGGCCTCCCTGTCCATCACCAACTCCTGGAGCTTGCTCAAACTCATGTCCATCGAGTTGGTGATCATCCAACCATCTCATACTCTGTCGTCCCCTTCTCCTCCTGCCTTCAATCTCTCCCAGCATTGGAGTTTTTTCCAATGAGTCAATTCTTCCCATCAGGTGGTCAAAGCATTGGATCTTCAGCTTCAGCATCAGTCTTCCAATGAATATTCAGGACTGATCTCCTTTAGGATGGACTGGTTGGATCTCCTTGCAGTCCCTTGGACTATCAAGAGTCTTCAACACCACAGTTCAAAAGCACCAATTCTTCAGTGCTCAGCTTTCTTTATGGTTCAACTCTCGCATCCATGCATGACTACTGGGAAAAACCATAGCTCTGACTAGACGGACCTTTGTTAGTAATGTCTCTGTTTTTTAATGTGCTGTCCAGGTTGGTCATAGCTTTTCTTCCAAGGAGCAAGCATCTTTCAATTTCATGGCTGCAGTCACCATCTGCAGTGATTTTGGAGCCCCAGAAAGTGAAGTCTCTCACTGTTTCCATTGTTTCACCATCTATTTGCCATGAAGTGATGGGATTGAATGCCATGATCTTCATTTTTTGAATGTTGAGTTTTAAGCCAGTTTTTAAGGATCCTTTTGAATATTCATAAATGCATGTTTTTCAAAGCACTGGTAGCAGTAAAATGGATAAGTGAGGATGAATTTGAGGTGGTTTATCAGTGAGGCTTGGGGCTTCCTTGGTGGCTCAGAGGTTAAAGCATCTGCCTGCAATGCGGGAGACCTGGGTCCGATCCCTGGGTCGGGAAGATCCCCTGGAGAAGGAAATGGCAACCCACTTCAGTATTCTTCCCTGGAGAATCACATGGACGGAGGAGCCTGGTGGGCTACATTAGTCCATGGGGTCGCAAAGAGTCGGACACAACTGAGCGACTTCACTTCACTATCAGTGAGGCTTCGTGACTTCTATGGTTGGCCTGGACGACAGTGGGGATGGTTAAGGCATTCACTGAAACAAAGGTAGCATAAGGTGTTTGTGGATTATTTGAGTGGAGATACCAGCAAGTATACTAGCTTCAGTGCCTGTGTGGCATGTGAAATCAGAGGAAGTTTGGGGTGAGGGTGGGGTTGGTTGTCAAGGAGAAGAGAACAAGGAGCAGTAAGGATTTAAAACAAGGTGAAATAGTGAATATAAATAATTCTAAATTTATTTAGAATTTATCCAGGGATCAGCCAGACCTGGATGCTTACCAACAAGAATCATAGCACTTGAGAAATTATGTAATTGATGTGACTAAAGCTATAAAGCTTTAAACGGCTGAAATATGATTTGAATTTAGTTCCATCTCTTCCCAGGTGATATTAAGCTAAAATGCCCCTGTTGTGGTAATATGTGATTAGCAAAAAGACATGAATGTAGTGAGCTGATGTAACAAAATTCTATGAAAAAACAAAATTATCAAATATCAATGCCTGACAAGTCTCTGTAATATTCATCAGTCTGTAACATGGGAATAATGGTAGTAATATACATTTACTAAGATAGATATAGGGCCTTTCCTGATGGCTCAGCGGGTAAGAATTGCTTGAAATATAGGAGACACAGGTGACATGGGTTCACCTGTTCCTGGGTTGGAAAGATCCCCTGGAGGAGAAAAATGGCAACCCACTCCAGTATTCTTGCCTGAAAAATCCCACGGACAGAAAAGCCTGGTGGGCTATAGTTCAAACGGTCATGAAGAGTTGGACACGACTGAGTGACTTTGCACAAACACGAAGGTAGATACTAATGTGTGGGTTAGCTGCCTTATATAAATAATCCCATTTAATCCTCACCAAGTTCTTCAAGGTAGGTCATATCTGTCCCTATCCTACAGATGAAGAAATGGAGGCTCAGAAAGACTGAGTGGTTTTTCTGAGACCACAGCCCTGGGGAGTTAAAGATTCTCATAGAAACTCAAACGCAAGCACTCCTGAAAATGTTTTTCCTTGTGCTACAAGGTCTCCTTTGGGGATAGTAGTACCTACCTATCTGCCTCAGAGGTTGCCTTGGTTTAACCTAGGGAATTCTGAGGGCCTGGGAATCTGTATTTTATTTATTTATTTCATTTTTATTATTTTTGACTGCACCGTGAGACATGCAGGCTGAACCTGCACCCCTGGACCACCGGGGAAGTCCCCAGGAATCTGTCTTTTAAGATGGCACCCTGGTGATTTTCATGTGGGTGGTTTTATGTGTCTTGAGAGTAATAAACCATGGCAGCCCTATGTAAATATTATGTTATTATTATTATTGATTGCTATGAGGTGTCTTAGAAGGGACAAGTCCATCTTCATCTAAAAACCTGAATGAATATTTTGTGTGTGTGTGTGTGTGTGTGTGTGGTGTTACTGCCATCATGAGTGTGATGGATTCAGGTTGCTTCCTCAGCCCCATTCCAGCCTGGCCAGCTCCTTGGATGGTTTCTTCATGCATGTCACTGAATCACTTTCCTAAGAACTGTGTCAGTTACAGGCTTGCCTCCTTCCCGTTACCTAGGCATCAAGAGTAAAGGGCTTGGTGTATGTGGCTGGATCCTGCTTTTCCTTTCTTTCCTGCTGATGGTCATTACCTTCCCGATCTCCATATGGATGTGCTTGAAGGTAATACCCTGGGAAACAGATTGGTCTCTCTGTGTGAGTTGATGAACTATGAACACTAAATGCTCTCCCTTCATCTCTCAGATCATTAAGGAGTATGAACGTGCTGTTGTATTCCGACTGGGACGCATCCAAGCTGACAAAGCCAAGGGACCAGGTATGACACTGGTTTCGCTGAACTATCACCAGGTTTAGTTGAACTCTATGACATTGCTAATGTTTGTTTTCAACTCACCAAAATGGCAGTTTCATAGGACAGATTCTAATATTCTTGAAAGAAGAGTCTATTCAAACTAACTTAAAAAGGCACATGGAGGAGAAGGGCTATTTGCTAAACCTCTCTAGCATCATCTGTTGTCTGCCCCCTTCTAAGGTGTATTTAAGTAAAACCATTCTCTGTTCAGCTGCACTGTAGGGTCTCTGGGGAACTTCCTTATTCACACCGTGTGCTCTGCACTTGGCCATGTACTAAAGCAGGCGCTCAGGTGTCTGTTACATTTTTAAACAGATGAGAAACTTCAAAAGGAGAAGCTTGTTACAGAGACCTGGCCACTTCAAGTAGTGTGATCCTCCTTGTCTAATATAGACTTCCCTTGTGATCCAGTGAAACTGAAAGTCGCTCAGTTGTGTCTGACTCTTTGTGACCCCATGGACTAGACAGTCCCTGAAACTCTCTGGGCCAGAATACTGGGGCTTCCCTGGTGGCTCAGTCTGGAAAGAGTCTGCCTGCAGTAGGAGGCTCAGGTTTGATCCCTGGGTCGGGAAGATCCCCTGGAGAAGGGAATGGCAAACCACTCCCGTATCCTTGCTCGGAAAATCCCATGGACAGAGGAGCCTGGTGGGCTGCAGTCCACGGGGTGGTAAAGAGTCGGGCACGAATGAGTGACTAACACTTTCACACTGGGGGTCCAGTGGCTAAGTCTCTGAGCTTCCAATGCAGAGAAGCTGGGTTCAATCCCTGGTCAGGGAGCTAGATCCCACATGCTAAACTTCCATGCCTCAAGGAAGACCCTGTGCCTTGTCTAATAAGGAACCTAAGGGAAAGAAAGCAAGAAATGCTTGTTAACGGGTATTTTTAGACGTTCATCCAAATACAGGTGATGGAATTATCCAACTGAGGAATAACAGAGCAAAGCTAAACCCTTTCTAGTCATGTTTCACCTGGTGGAGCCAAGATTATAACTTAGAAAAAAAACTGGATTTGAGAGAGGTCGAATAACCACAGCTTGAAGGACTCTGGAGAAAAGTCTCTTCTAAATGAATTTTCCCAGAAGAGTTCACCACTAAATGTCCCAGGATAACAAATCTCGTCATACACGTCTCTGGGGTGAAGGAGTTATCTCAGAATGTCACAAGAGCCAGAGGGAAACAGGCCAAATTGCTAACAGAGAACCTCTCCACTTCTGTAAATCGTAAACTATTTTTTAACAATAAAAGTGTTCATAACAAGAGCTGCTACTTCTTGAGCACTTAATACATGCCTGGCACTATGATTTTTTTTAAAAAATGATTTCGTTTGTTTACTTTTATTTTTGTTTCTTCTGCATCCTCCTTGCTTTGTGGGCTTTTCTGTAGTTGTGGTGAGCGGGGGCTACTCTCTAATTGCGGTGTGCGGGTTTCCCATTAGAGTGGCTCCGCGGGGTGCAGCAGGGCTCTAGGGCATGCAGGCTTCAGGAGCTGCAGCTCCGGGCTCCAGAGCACAGGCTCAATAGTGGTGGTGCCCAGGCTTAGCTGCCCTGTGGCGTATGGGATCTTCCCAGGCCAGGGATCAAACCTGTGTCTCCTGCATTGACAGGTGGATTCTCTACCACTGAACCACAGGGCACTATGTTTAGCTCTTTTTTTTTGTTGTTGTTGTTAACATGTTGTGTGTATACTGGTCACTCATTTGTGTCTGACTCTTTTCGACTCCATGGACTGTAGCCGGCCAGGCTCCTCTGTCCATGGGATTTCTCAGGCAAGAATACTGGAGAGGGTTGCCATTCCCTTCTCTGGGGGATCTTTCTGACCCAGGGATCAAACCCAGGTCTTCTGTATTGCAGGCAGATCCTTTTACCATCTGAGCCACCAGGGAAGCCATAATCCTGCTTAATCTTCACTATCATCTTACAGGAATTAGGTGACTGAAGCTCCGAAAAATTAGATGAATGTTCTTAGGTCACAAGCTAGTAACCAACAGGGCTAGGACTCACCTCTGTCTAGTTCTAAGGGCCATGATTTTAACTGGTGACTTAGCACCCAAAAAAGGAGTAAATTAGGAAGTAATCCTCACCTCAGAAAGGCTTAGAGACCAAAAGAAAGAAAGCACCATAGCAGTGTTTTCTGTTGATGCTACCAGCCCTTTTCAAGGTGCTCAATGAAAAAACTTGTTTCTTTGACAACAAAAACAATAGCACCAGAATCTTTCCAGTAAATGGAAATGGATGGGTGTCCCCATCTTGCTGACATGCTTATGGTTCTGTCTTGGTCTCTCTTGCTGTAGAGAAGCTTCACCAGAGCAAAGTTAAGACATCATAGAATCCTCAAATGAGTGTCCTCAGCCCTTCCCGGCCCCCAATCTAATACTTGACAGCTCAGAGAGTAGTAAGAATATTCACAATTGAGGAAAGCTGTATATGAGCTAGAACACAGTTACAGAGAAACTACAAATGTTGTAATACACTAGTTTTAGGGACACTGAAATCCTGGGAAGATTTTAATGCTAATGTTCCTTCAGTCCTAAAGAATATAAATGAGAGTGTGGACAGATACTGATATTCAAGGCTTAAAGTCTGTGCTTGAATCTTTTGTACAGATACGTTTAACCCAGGGAAAAACCAACTTCCAAAATATTCTTATAAATAAATGTCTAATTCAATACTTGAATCAGAAGTAGGTCCAATGCTTTTAAATTTTAATTGGAAGATAATTGCTTTATAATATTGTGTTGCTTTCTGCCATACATCAACACAAATCAGCCACAGGTACACACGTTTCATCCCTCTCGAAGAATGTCTAATAATTAAATGTTAGGGTTTCCCTGGTGGTCCAGTAGTTAAGACTCAGTACTTTCACTGCAAGGGTGTGGGTTTGATCCCTGGTTGGGGAGTTAAGATGCCATAGGCCTCTCAGCCAAAAATACAAAACATAAAACAGAAGCAATATTGTAACAAATTCAATAAGGACTTAAAAAAATGGCTCACAGAAAAAATATTGAAAGAAATCAAAATTAAATGTCAAGAATCTTTAGCTTCTTAACAAAAGATTTTAATTTCTAGGGAATCACTTTCCTTTAGTCTTTGACTCATAAGGGGAAATAATTACCCCAAAGTTAAAGATGAACTTATTGAAGATCATCTGAGAAGCTTTTATACTCCCACAAAAACAATGTACTGTATATCTAGGAGACAATCTATTGCAGTTATTTTCAGTTGGGTCAAATTTTAAACTGTATTTACTTTTGCACAGGTCTGATTCTGATCTTGCCCTGCATAGATGTGTTTGTCAAAGTTGATCTTCGGACCGTTACTTGCAACATTCCTCCCCAGGAGGTAATGCTGACTAAAGATACGTTTCTGGAAATAAAACCAATCTCTTCCCTGTTACATGGACAGTTGAGAATTCATAATATGTTTTCAAACGATAAAAGGAAAGATGAACTGAATTCTTAGAGACCTGCTGGAGGAGTCCTAGGTGGCTCCTAAAACTTTTGGGCCTTGTTTTGCCAAACAAGAATAGAGCCAAGAGCAAGGGCTGAAAAGCTAGAAGAGGTGGAATGATTGGGTGGGAGAAAGTCTGAAAGAAGAGAAAGAATGGATACAGAAGGCAGAGAAGCTGAGATGCAGAATGACAAGCAGATGCTTGCAAGGGTCTGATAAATCATTTTAAGGAAGAGCTGAAATTAATTTGGTAGATGGCAGTCACTGGTTGTGATATGATCCTTTTCATCACCTTTTCAGAAAATGCTTTAGTACCATCTGTATCTCTCACCTCTGCTTTAAATTTTTTCATGTTTGGATGCAACAATGTGAGATGGGGATGGAGAAGGAACACCCAGGGCACAGGCCTCACCTGCATTGGATTTCAAATAATTCTTTTCTGTTCTTGAAGTGCTGAAACTGAAGGAAGCAGGCCAGGGACTGGGTGACAGGGGAGAGAAACAGCGTTATTAGCAGTCATGCAACTTTCTAATAAACAAAAACAATCCAGAAGAGAAAGGAAAGTGTGTGGAAGAGCAGAGGGGATTAGAAGAGAGAAAAATCAACATCTTTGGGTAAATGATAATTTTCTTCTCTCTGGTCCAGAAAACTCAATCAAGACCCAACCATGATGTCTTCATGCCACTGGCATAAGTTGCAGACTCCTTACTTAGAATTCAGCCCTAATCATAAGAGACCTTGGGATGCCTAGTGACCCATCACAGGCTGTTGATGGCTCCATGGTAAATAGTTCTAGATGGGAGAACGGAGTTCCAGGGTCTACTTCCGTAGTACGCCCAGAAATCTGATTTTTTCCAAACTCTCTCGTCATGTTAATGCAGAATAACTAACACAGAGCCTCTATAAAGTTAAATTGGTTTTTCTTTATCTGAATACAGAACACGGGTCTCTGGTGCCATCTATGTTTTCTAAGAAGCATTGCTATTCATCAAACTGATGAAACTGACTGAAAAGATCTCAAGTATCAGGGAAATGACTTTTCTACCTCTCTTTAGAAGGTAGAATTTCAGCAGGGTTCTACAATTTAAGGTGGAAACACCTACTTCACCTCTGAGTAGGGGATGAGACTTCCATAAGATGAAGTTACAGGGCTAGGTACATATCACACCTATGTAGGAGTTTGGTTCCTGATTAGGATGATAGTAGATTCAAGTCAGGGCAGATGTTCAGTGCTGCTGGCATGAGTTGTCATGAAGGCTCTCCTTTGGTGGAGTGGAATCCGAGGCAGCCTGACGCTTTTTTGGTTGTTGTGAAAGTCATGTGTATGTGTGCTCAGTCGCTCAGTCGTGTCCAACTCTTTGTGTGAAAGTCATATGCATGTGATTTTTCGTGTTCTTGCTCTCCAGATCCTCACCAGAGACTCTGTGACCACTCAGGTGGATGGAGTGGTCTATTACAGGATCTATAGCGCCGTCTCAGCAGTGGCTAATGTCAATGATGTCCACCAAGCCACATTTCTGCTGGCTCAGACCACTCTGAGAAATGTCTTAGGGACACAGACCTTGTCCCAGATCCTAGCTGGCCGAGAAGAGATTGCCCATAGCATCCAGGTAAAGACATTGAGAACAAACAGCCTGCATTGTTAATCCACTCATTTTAATTGTCAGTGATAATCAAATATTAGCAGTTCAAAACACCACCTCCACTTGCGCACACACACATGTGCCCTGCTGCTCTTAACAGATGGGCTTCAGTTTAGCATTTCTTTTCTTTTTTTTAAACAATCGTGAGGTCCAGATTTAAATATGTAGGTGGGAAGAGGGAGCTGCTGGAACTGCTTTAGGAACTCAAAATGATGAATTGACATCATACACTTCAGCTTTTTCCTCCTAGGAAAGCTGACTTCATGCTCCTAATGTCAATAAAGATATGAATAGCAATCGTAGTTATACTATTGTTGAGGATGTAACAGGTAGCCCTGTCACCTCTTGTTCACCCTAGATTATGTATATGTGTGTATGTGTGGTAAGTCTTGTCCAACTCCTTGTGATCCCATGGACTGTAGCCTACCAGGCTCCTCTGTGGAATTTTCCAGACAAGAATACTGGAGTGGGTTGCTATTTCCTACTTCTACTTCCTGACCCAGGGATTGAAACTGCATCTCTTGTGTCTCCTGCATTGGCAGGCAGATTCTTTACCACTGCACCACCTGGGAAGCCCTAGATTGTAGATAATCACATTTCTGTGTTTTTGGAATCAATTACATTTTTATTCTGAGCCTGCCTTCTCTAAGAGGGAAATTCATCTTTGGTCCTTCTCGGCTTCTCCTCCAGTCTCTAAGGTAGGCCAAAGTCCCTGAGGCTTTATAAGATAATATCAGTTCTGCATGATAATGCTCTATGCCATTTTAAGAGCTTCACAAGTTCAATGACTCAGATATTTCCCCATCAGTCAGGTCAGTGGCTTCTTGAGATGGCTTCTCCCCATCTCGCGGCTCTCTGCAGGCATCACAGGAAAGCAAGGGCTCACTTGCAATTTGGTAGCATGGAGATCTCTGCCCTTTACGCTTTGGGAGAACTATTCATCTGATCTCACTATTTCTTGAGGCATTGTTTCTCATCCCTACTCCTCCAGGGTAACCAGCAGCTATCTTTAGTTGTCTGAAGCTCTAATGAAGGATGAGGATGTCTTTGGTTTTAGGCTTCTTCTGCCCTAAAAAGACATGTATGCCTTGCTACCTGTTTAAAACTGAGCTACAGGTCAGAGGTTAAACAAAGCAAGAAAAAGAGTATCTCAAAAAGTACCCAGTGATAATATTAATATGTATTGAATTACTGCTAGGCCATGATAGATATCTTACGTGTATTCTATGCAAACCTCATGACAGTCCTGAAAGAAAACCTTTCATAGATATGAAGACTGAGAATCAGAAAAGTTAAGGAGTGAGCCCAATGATTCACAGCTGTAAATGGCAGAACCAGGACAAAAGCCACTGCTGTCTGCTTGGTGTCAGGGACAAGAAAATGTGGGGAATTTGCTCAAATCTAGATGGACAGTGTATGTGCCTTAGGAATGGTTTGGGTGCATCTGCTGAGCAACCCCCTCTTAAAAGAAATACCAACTTTTGTTTCTGAATCCTTCCTGGGATTTACTTCAATTCCAGGAAGGGAGTGATAAGTACACCTATTTTCTTCCCAGATAGTCTCACTCTAAATTCTGTAAATTCAAAAGGAGAAAAAGAAGAGGGCTTCTCTTGCATATGTAAAATATAGCAGAAACTTTGATTGCATTGCCTGGATTCTGATCGATGTCCTTTCTTTTGACTTGGAAACAGACCTTACTTGATGACGCCACCGAGCTGTGGGGGATCCGGGTGGCCCGGGTGGAAATCAAAGACGTCCGGATTCCCGTGCAGTTGCAGAGGTCCATGGCTGCTGAGGCCGAGGCCACCCGGGAAGCCAGGGCCAAGGTAAGGGCGAGCCCCCCACCCTGGAGCCGACGAGGATGGAGCTTGAATGGAAGCTCAGGCTTCCTCAATGACGTCAATAAGAAGAGGGCTGCTTCTTCTCCTCCTTTTTTTTTTTTTTAGAAGGTTTACTGAGAATTTCTTCCTGAATTAAAGGGTCATGGGCAACTTTGAGGGAAAGGAAGGGGAAGCGATATTTAGGCAGTTTGGGATGGACATGTACATCTGCTATATTTAAAATGGGTAACTAACAAGGACCTACTGTATAGCACAGGCAACTCTGCCAACGTTATGTGGCCGCCTGGATGGAAGGGAAGCTGGGGGAGAACGGATACATGTATATGTGTGGCTGAGTTCTTTTCCTGTCCGCCTGAAACTATCACAGCGTTGTTAATCAGCAATGCTGTTCAGTTACTCAGTCAGTCGTGTTGGACTCTGCGACGTCAGACTTCCCTGTCCGTCATTATCTCACGGAGTTCACTCAAACTCACATTAATCATCTCTGCTGTTAAATCACTTCAGTCGTGTCCGACTCTGTGTGACCCCATAGATGGCAGCCCACCAGGCTCCGCAGTCCCTGGGATTCTCCAGGCAAGAACACTGGAGTGGGTTGCCACTCCAGTACATGAAAGTGAAAAGTGAAAGTGAAGTCGCTCAGTCGTGTCTGACTCTTCGCGACCCCATGGACTGCAGCCCACCAGGCTCCTCCATCCATGGGATTTTCCAGGCAAGAGGACTGGAGTGGGTTGCCATTGCCTTCTCCGAATGCAAAATATTATAATATAAATATATATTTATATTATACTCAGTGGCTTAGCAAGGTGGGTCCCCTTGAGAGACATGAGCAAGGCAAACACCAATCCCCAGGTCTCACCTCAGATTCAGTGAAGCAGAGGCTCCAGTGAGCCCAGGAACCTACATTTTTATGTAGCTGGCTGGGGATTCTGATGTAGCAACCTGGTGCCTGCCTCTGGAGCATCAACCCTCTAGCATGTTAAGTGAACACACTAGATTAAGAAGACCAGGTGACTACAATCCAGGTTAGAGTTACAAAATGTGAGTGCAACTTGGTCCCGAGTGCTCTTGAATCTGTTGGATTCATAGCCTTCCTATGAAGGATGAATTTTCTGAAGTATCAGAAACCAATTGACATTAGAAGCCTCCAACTATCCTCTTTGGAATCTTACTTGGGAGTACAGGAAGATTCCCTCTACTTATCTCTGACTTCTCTGTTGAGCTCCAGCAGCTTCTAAGCAGTGGACTTGGAAGGCACGTTTGCACATGGGCAGTGAGTGCCCGCGGATGGGGCAGTTGAGTTCCAAGTCATTCCTGGGCAGCTGGAGAACCAGAGGAGGTGCAGGGTGCTTAGGAGAGTTCCAAAGAGGGTTTGCAGACTGGCATTGCTGCTGCTTGTAATCGAGAGAAGGCAGAACTGGGAACAATTCTTCATTGTAAGAAGGAAACAAAATTGGAAATTTTTTTGTTCTAGTTCTGTGGAAAGTGCCATTGGTAGTTTATTAGGGGTTGCATTGAAACTGCAGATTGCTTTAAGTAGTATAGTCATTTTCACAGTATTGATTCTTCCACGCCAAGAACATGGTATAGCTCTCCATCTGTTTGTGTCATCTTTGATTTCTTCTGGGAGTGTTTTCAAGTTTTCTGAGTACAGGTCTTTTGCCTCCTTAGGTAGGCATTTTATTCTTTTTGTTGCAATGGTAAATGGGATTGTTTCCTTAATCTCTCTTTCTAATCTTTCATTGTTGGTCCATAGCACAGGGAACTCAGCTGGGTGCTCTGTGATGGCCTGGGTGGGGGGGTGGGGGTGGTGGGAGGGAGGTCCAAAAGGGAGGGGATATATGTATACATGTCGGCTGATTCACTTCCTTGTACACAGAAACTAACACAAAGTAAAGTAATTGCACTCCAATTAAGAAATGAAACAAAATTGGCAACAGAAGGAAATTAAAAAAAAAAAAATCTGTGATAAGTGAAACTCACAGAAGAAAAAGCCAGCTGGAAGCCTTGAATTTCAGACTTCTCTGCAAATGAAAGCAGCAAATGGGGAGCACAGATTCAAGAGCATCACTAGGGTGGCTGGACCTGTATTTGTTTGGGTTAAAGGCAGGGCTTTTATTTTGTTTGGAATGAAACTAGGGACTCATAATTTGTAAGTTATCTCCCTGTTTCTTGCAACCTCCTCAAATGTCTCTAATCACATAAGGATGTGAAACTCTAATCCTTGCCGAAGAAGCAGATGAAACATGGGTGGCCAAGTGGGGGCTGGGAGGGAAACATCAGTGCAGACCCAGATAAAGCAAGCACTAGTCACAGTCGGGAACCTTTATTTCTAAAGTCTTTTCTTTCTGTTGGTGTAGGTCCTTGCAGCGGAAGGAGAAATGAATGCTTCTAAAGCTCTGAAGTCCGCCTCCATGGTGCTGGCTGAGTCACCGGCAGCCCTCCAGCTGCGTTACCTGCAGACCTTAGCCACCGTGGCCACAGAGAAGAATTCCACCATTGTGTTTCCTCTGCCCATAAATATGCTAGAGGGCATTGGTGGCATCACCTACGACAACCACAAGAAGGTCCCCAACAGAGCCTGAGGTCCTCCTGCTGCCTCCAGCCATCACTTAGGCATATCTGTTCCTATGGCAACCCCAGCAGTTAGAAGTGTTGAGAATGTCAACACTATTCAAGCAGAGTAACTTTACAGCTGGATCAGCATTAGCAGGAAAAGGCATAGAGGCTACAAAAAGAAAAAAGAAAGAAAGAAAGAAAAGAACGGCTGTATGTTACTTTTATTTTTAAGAAAGGAAAGAAAACTTTGCATTAGTCTTAGGATAATCAGTAAGTAGGCATTGCTGACTTAGAGCAGGAACTTTCTTGTTGTAGCTGGGGTGATCTTTGGGTGACCGTGATTAAGATTTCAGAATTACTTTTTAATGAGTTTAATCAGGGCTTCCCTGGTAGCTCAGACGGTAAAGAATCTTCCTGCAATGCAAGAGACTTGGATTCAATCCCTGGGTTGGGAAGATTCCCCTGGCACTCTAGATAATCGGCAAAGTAACACATTTATACTAGCTATTTGCCTTATCAATCGAAAGTGATTATTTGCTCACTTTCCAGTTCTAGCTATCTGCTTTGTAATTCCAAAGTAGTTATTAGCTAAATTTCTAATTGTGACAACAAAATCCCCAGAATGCTTAAAATTATGATTGATTTTGATGTTTAGGACTAAAGAGGCACTGAGGCTTCTGGCTGCAAATTTATCACCACTTCCCTCTCCCAGGCAGATTGCCCTCAGCTCCCTGGCTGCGTGTCCTCCTCCTGGGACTGGTGGCCAATCCTGGCCTCCCAGCACCTTTGTCAGAGGGTGAGATGAGATGCTGTGACCCTGCACGCTCCAGTCTGCTTATTTGTTCACAAGTGAGAAGCTGGCAAAAGGTTGTGTTGTTTTAACTCACTGGGGAACAGTAGCCTGCAAATTTCATGTTTTCAGTCTCTCCTTTGTCCCAAGAGCCACAAGTCATCAAGGATTGTTTGTAAACTCTACTCTTCCTCTCTAACCCCTGCCTCCAAACCTCTCAAAAATAAAGATGCCATAGAATGTGAATGTATTTTAAAAATTGCTTTTCTGGAGATTGTTTTGTTGCCATGGTGCAGTTTTCTTTTGGGATCCATTTTGAGCAATGGGATAGAATTTTTTAAAGTTATCCTTTATTGAATGTCTGCTGTGTGTGACACTGTGTTCAGCCCCTCATGGATGCTAAAAAGTATTCTTATGTTTAAAAAGGGAAAGTGGTGTCAAAAAGTTGAATGACTTATGCAGAGTCTCTTAGCTTGTGAGTGATGGATTTGGGACTGGAAATCAGATCTGCCTCCAAAGTTCTTGCTCTTAAACATCATTGAGTTTTCCTGGGGGGGGCGGGGAGGTAAGTGGGGGTGGTGATGGAGCCCTTCCATTGCTTTTTTGCCTTCAATTCCAATCTTTTAGGTTCTAGAAGTCTGGGTGCTCACTATAGTTTTCCACTGTGTCTTTAGACACTTGAGACACTCACTGACTCTTGAGAGTTTGCACACACGTGTGCACACGAATCATCATACACTCAAACTCCTTTTCACACTCCACCTATACTTCCCGTGTAATGCCCACCTTCACTTTCTCCCTCTCCGCCTACCTCCATCTCCATTCACATTCCCTATGTGTGCTCCCCTCAAAACACAGGAACTATCTGCATATAAATGCAAAACGGAGATCCCACTCTACTTTTGATTTTCTAACCTGTTTTTTCCCCATGAAGCCATATCATGCTTTATATGATTTTTGGACAATTCACAACTTAGGAATTTTTCAGTAATTTCAACTGACTCTATAGCTCTAGTGAAAGAAAGAGTGAAAGTGTGGCATCTGACTCTTTGCAACCCCAGGGACTGTAGCCCACCAGGGTCTTCTGCTCATGGAATTCTCCAAGAAAGAATTCTTTCTTTCTTGAATCCAAGAAAGCCTCCTTTCTCTGGCTCTAACACTCTGGTCCAGATCTATGTGCTCCAATCACCCCAGCACCAGACACTAGGTAAGGAGGGACAGCTCTGTCTAGAGCCCAGTGAAATGATTCAAACCTAATAATTTCAGTGCAGTATTCAGCTCATCCTAAACCAGTTCACCTGCCTTATCCATCCCTTCCCATGGAAGCCACAGTGGTGGCTCTTGCCTACACTTCACCTTCACCCCTTTTGCCTCCTGATGGACACTGTGGCTCCCCTGGTGTTCCTCTTGGGAGCTGAGTATAATTAGTATCTTTTCAATAGCAATTATCTCTTAATCTGTTGGCCTCGTCACACCTGAATTATAATAAAACTTACATTTAAGAGTTTTATTGGGCTCCCCTGGTGGCTCAGACAGTAACGAATCTGCCTGCAATGCAGGAGACCAGGGTTTGATCCCTGGGTTGGGAAGATCCCCTGGAGAAGGCAGTGGCAACCCACTCCAGTATTCTTGCCTGGAGAATCCCATGGACAGAGGCGCCTGGCGGGCTACAGTCCATGGGATCACAAAGAGTTGGGCACAACTGAGAGAATAGCACTTTCACTTTCCATTTAAGATATGGCAGCTGGGGGTTAGGCAGGAGTCTGTATAGGGTCAGCTCAAATCGGCCTGACTCGTCTCCTGATGGCCTTTTTTCTCTAGTCAGGTCCACTTTGACTAATTCTGGCTTGGGGATGTTTTCTTTGAGTGCCTCTGGGGGTGGTTGTGACTTTCTGGCAGGGAGATCTTAGTTCGAACTGTCAGCATCCTTGTGGAGCTGGATGGTCAGTCTTCCCTTTCTTGGTTCCCTTCCCCAAGCTCCTGAAGGCCAGGCTTTCTCCCTCACAGCTTGGAAAGTTCCAGCACACAGACCTTTTTCTTCTGTGGTGGGGACTGATCAATCCATCCACACATTTCTGTAGATGATCACAACCTTTCTGCTAAAACACAACCTTTTCTCCCCTGAGTCTTGGAAGTGTTGGGAGAACTTTGACATAGGAGTTTCCACCGCCTCCCCTCTCCCCAGCTCCACCTAATTCTGTATATTTTGCCCATTTTGGGGGATAATACTTCAATAGCAGGGTTTCCCTGATAGCTCAGATGGTAAAGAATCCACCTGCAATGCAAGAGACCCTGGTTCAATCCCTGGGTCAGGAAGATCTGCTGGAGAAGGGATAGGCTACCTACTCCAGTATTCTTGGGCTTCCCTTGTGGCTCAGCTGGTAAAGAATCTGCCTTCAATGCGGGAGACCTGGGTTCGATTCCTGGGTTGGGAAGATCCCCTGGAGAAGGGAAAGGCTTCCTAATTCAAGGATAGAACCTGAGTCTCCTGCATTGGCAGGTGGATTCTTTGCTACTAGGCACCAGGGAAGCCCATTGACTTAGGTTAACTTTGCAAAGTGACTAATCTCCTTGGCAGTAAAGACCCTTGGCAACAGATCAGATGATTTGGTTTATCTACACTAGTGCAGCTGGGCAGGTTCAGAGCTTAGCCAGGTCTGGTCAACCTTCCTTCTCACCCCCCATGGCCCCACCTGATGAAGTGTTAGTCACTTAAGTACGTTATTGCCTCTAAATATCCCTTGCCTTGGCAGCCCTCTGGCTGTGTCTGCCCCTGTTACAATGGGTAGGCAGGCACTAAAACCCTGAGGAGCAGTGATATTTTACCACCAGCATTAAGGAAGTCATGGGGGTTCAGGTCCCAGGTTGAAAACCTACAGATGCTCAAGGCTGTAGAATCAGAATGGAAAACAACTGCCAATCATTGCAGACTACAGGGATTCCGTGATTTTTGTGTGGCTAAAAGGTATAGAATACACCCCAATGACTTAGCCATTTGAACACTTTTATGTTTATATGGGTTTTATTTATATTCAACATGTGATATGTTGTAAAGGAAAACAGGTGCAGTTATAAAACACAAGGGGTAGCAAGAATTCGTTTAGACATGGACTTAAGACTGAATAACTCCAAATTGCTTGCATAATTGAATTCCCAGGGATAAACTTCAATATCCAGCAAATATGCAGTGCCTTACTAAATAGACAAAAAGAACCTAGACTCTCTTTGAGGAATTCCCATGGGAAAAAAAATCACAAAGGCTATTAAGTTCTCAAATAATTCTATTACACACAGTTATGTCACTCAGTGGCTAGACAAACATAAATTTGTTGAGTGTTTTGGAGGGCACTTGATATACAAGCAGGCACTTAAAATGATTATAAAGCATACAATTCTTTGTCGAGGATAAAGTTTTTTGTATAGACAAATGGACTTAAAAAATATCTTGCCAAAAGTTTGAATTCCTAAAGCCACAGACAAAGACTCTGCTTTGTACTTCTTTTTGTAACGTGCTTAATGTGGGCCCTTACAGAAATTTTCTTTTAGTCTTACCAATAATTATCTTCTTATATTTTAAGTGATTTTTATTATAATGGTCTTTGTTTTTAATGTTAGTTTTTAAAGTTTACATTTCTCTTTTCTTTCTTCTTCTTTTTAGCTACAGAACTGTTACAGGATCACTCAAACATCAGAAAAAATAAATATCTGTAGCAGAAATTCACTGAGAGTGTCTAAATAATCATGTACTCAGTGGAGGCCACATCTGGGCAGTAGTAAAAGAGTTTTGTGCATTTGATGATTGTAATTTTAAATACTTCAACATTGTTAACATTTTAACAAAGTTTTTTGCCATTCATTTCATTCCAAGGTATTCTATCATCCAAAGAACCTCATCTTGTGATCTTTGACCTTTTATTCTTGCTCAATTAAATTCTTAAAGGGATGTTTTTCACATTTTAAATGTCAATGTTGAATCTCCACTGAGAGAAAAATCAAGACACAGATTGTCATCACATTATTCAATATGATGCTTTTGATCTTTTGCAGGAAGTTCTTTTTCCTCCTACATCCAAAAGCCTTAATGTTTTCTAAAGAAGGGACACTACACAAGCCCTGTGCTCACTTGCCAGCTTTCAGATGACTGAGAACACTAATGATTTAGTGAAAACAGTAAAGGTTTGAAAACTAAAGGGAAGCATTACTGAAAAAATGACAAATCTCAGAGAGGGAAAAAAACAAGCCCATGAGATAAACAAGGAAAGAAAGGAAAGAAAACAAAGTAAAAGTAGATATTGTTGCTAGAGCGGTTGTTTTTGATGTTGTTGCATTTGTTCTTTAGCAAAATACAATATTGAAAAAAATATAAACAAATGTCAAGGAATAGAAAGCAAATGCACTTCAAAGACAGGAAAGGAAAAAAAAAACCTTTCTTGTTTAAAATTTGTAAGTTCAACATTCTCATTAGTCTGTATTATTTTATCAACTTTAGTTCTAAAAGAATCAGCTTTCTTTCCCTATTTTAAAGGTTTCTTTGTAATCTTTTTAGTAAAAACTGTAGGAAAATATGCACTTTTGTTTTAGAATCTCTTATCAAAATAACTACCAAAATCTCAAAGTATTATGTTCTTAATATCCAAGGATATGGAAACAGAGAATTAAACAGGGTTACCTTGAACATATGAATAATAGTTTCTAAGAAGAAACTAGAAACCTATGTCATTACTATGTATTAATAATACTAGAATCAGTTCTAGGGAAAAGATCTCTTTAGGAAACACATTAACCTTCGAATTAGTATCAAAGAAACAACCCTTTGGTCTGTTTTTACAAATGAGGATTGTGTTGACCTTGAAAATCTTCATAATGGGCAATTCCAGTTAAAACTATGGTTTTCGGGTCATTATTTCTTAGAAGTGTGATTTTTTTTTTTTTAATGCATGTGAGCTTCTGTGTGTGTGTTAAGAGCAGTATTTATAGTTTCTGGCCAAATTATACTTTTTAAAGCCTTGACAAGTTGGACTGTTGAGCATGTGCCTTCTATTCATTTGCCATATGGTCAGTGAAGACACCTGTTTCCATCCTTTCATTATTGCTATCATGGCTAGAAAAAAAATGAAAGTTTCAAAGATCCATAGTATTCTGGCTTTCAAATTAGTACAATTATTTAAATTCTAATTTGTAAATTATTTACATCTTAAAAAATTTTTTTTTCCTATTAAAGTATAACATTGATCCTCAATAGATAATTTCAAAGCAGTAGCTGAAATCAAATTTCCAACTCTTAATCTAAATGTCATTACATTTCGCTTTTATTGTTACCCTAACATTTCTCAGGCTGGGG